ATTGTTTTCTTGACGTATTTCTCACATATCATCAATTCTTTCTTTCACTTTTTTCCATTACATTGTAACCTTTCCTTTCCTTCTTTTTTCCCTTTCTTTATTCTTCTTTTTTGTGTATCTAAAAAGAAGCCACTGATGATGAAGAAGCTAAGATACTAATATTCAGATATTCAGTACTGCTTTCTACTGAAGTGGCAGGGAAAATAAACAACTGTGAAATATTTTTTTTTACCAATTTAATGACACTACACATATGCACTTAAAGGCTTTGAATAACGCTTGAATAATTAATCAAAAATACTACATTTTCTCAAAATCTTAGCTATATTACTGTAAAAATATRTGGGTATATTTATGATTAGTGTCTCTTTTGGTCACTGGATTTTCCTTTTAGAAAGAGGTATTAAAAACAAGAAAAGAGTGACTATTTGAATTTTGTTTCAAAATACAGAAATTTAAATCAAAATACACAGTATTTCACTTTCTTAGTGTCAAAAAGGGATGAGTAAAATTTAAAAAATGATTTGTATTTGTGTTGGCAAATTTTCAGTGGGTCCAAAATAAACAAGCAAGTCAAAGCAGCTGGAACAATAAKGCAGCATGCTGACCAGCAGGTGTAAACATTCACGAGGAGCAACTTTTTAAAATGTTGCCTTATTAACATACTGCATCCACTACTCTTTGTTTCATCCAGAAGAAAGCTGAAAACTAAATTGAGGCTGTTTTAGAACTAGTTAAGCAAGCCACACTAAGGACACCTTAGATCACTGCATACAGATAGCACAAGCTACTGTTGGCCAGGTTGTCGCAAGCTAAGACAGCTGCTTGGGCACTTACAATGTAAMCATAATGTAGTTGAGCTTTGCATCTGCCAGAAACCCAGTGTGCACCTTAGTAAGGCCAAGACCCATTGCATTATTTTAGTACCCAGCATGACCAACATCTAACATTGCCTAAATTTTATATATTTCAGAATAAAGTTCCACAAATAAACCTAAAGKTACCATACCACTGGGCAGCAACTGYTGGAGACCCCAAATRATGAGAAATAAGCAAATTTTTCATTGCAGTCTCAATGAATTTTGAATGTTGGCGATCCGTAAGCTGTGACCAATATTTAAAAATCATGGCCATTTTTATGTCTCCACATTTTMCCAAATTATATTTTAAGAAATGCACATTATGTCATTGTCCACCTCCACCTATATTATTTGTAGCTCGGCCCAGTTTTGGCACACTTTTCCACCTCTGTGTCTGTTTCTGCTGCTTAGACCAGGACATTCATGGCTGTAGCCACTGATGTTTTCTGTCTTAGTAGAAATCCCATGCATGTGGAAAAATACAGCTATAGCACTCTAGAATTTACAGAGACACAACTGAGAAAGGTTTCAAATGCTTTAGACAATTCTGAACTAATTTGAAAGAAAATTCATTGCACAAACTTTTTTTAACATKTTTAAAATTCAAGCAACAAGACTGCGAGTTTTTGTGACTCACAAGAGGACTCTGAGAACCCCTGCAAAGTTTCCAGACATTTTGGAAACGTTCTTGTAAATGCTGTTCATGWACTTAGTCATCAATAGTTGCAGCTCAGCAAAAAACTACCTTAAAGTATAATCAGCTTTTACAAGAAGCTGAAATGAAATTTAGGTTATTTATTGTTCAGAATGRCATTGGGTTAAAGGACATTAGGTAWTAAGACATTAGRTTTTGTACAAAAATGTGTGTCTAAAATGCTTTAAAGCAACAATGCTAAGTGCTATTTAGACAACTCTTTGGAGAGACAGCTAMGTCCTTTTAAAAACCAATTAGCCAAGGATTAAGACTTGCACTTTGCCTATGAGATTATCACAACACTTATGCCTCAAGTTGATTGGGACAAAATAAAGAAYTTTATTTTAAAAAGTCCTCCAGGTCTGACAAACATTGTTTTTGTGTTGTCAGACACAGAAGGCACTATAAAATGTGTTGTGAGATGTTTGTGCAAGGTTGTTTGATGCCCTTGGGTCAAAGTGACAATTACTTGAAAAGCTAAATGTAGAGAGGGAGGCAGAGCTTTCAGGTGTCAYGGTCCTCTCGTTTAGAACAAGTTCCCAGTTTTGGTTAGGAAGGACCAAACCTGGGCTTCTTTTAAGACGAAACTTTCTGTTTTGATCAAGCTTAGGAACAACGTGAGTGAGCCATGATTTAAGTTACGCTGACAAAGCCCATCCAGTGTCACCAAAACCATTTCATCCAACATGATGAACAGCAAAGTGGTCTTATTGCCTCTCAGCTCCCTGTCAGCTAAAGAAGATGGCTGTTTATTCTGTCCTGGTTTTACTGGTTTCCTCTTGTCAAACTCGTGAGTAATTGATTTTCCAACATTTTACAGCAGATTGAAAATGTATTTTTCAAGAATATTTGACCAAAGCAGGAATGGCAATTAGGAAAGAAAGTTTAATAGAAAGATGTTTTCAATAACCGTAGACCTGTTTGTTGTTCATTTTGTGAGCAATACATAACATAACCTGGTACTTACCAGGCACATACARCATGCTTGGTAATTACAGGGTACACACCTAGTACTTACCATGCATACAAAGTACATATCATTTGCAGTGGTGGGCACAGTTCCCCTAAAGCACTGACAGGGGAACTAATTTCCTGATTAGTGCTTTAGGGCTTTTGCTAATCWTAAAATTCATTAGTGGTTTAGCACTTGCTAAATTTATATGCTAAGTTTAGAAGCACTAACTGAGGTCTACACAGATTTTGTTCATATGTGTGTCACTTATCCACCAGGTGACAACATATGAACTSAAAWACAGCTGTGGAATGTCAATGATAAGTCTGAAGAGAGCAACATGACAATATGTGACTCAAGTTGTCTGTTGAAGAATGTCCATGGGTTGACTGGGTTATTTTAGTGCTTTAGAATTAGCTTTTGCTAAATTTTCAGTGTGTTAGTGCTTTAGAATTAGGGGGCCTAAATATTTGCGTTAGTGTTTTAGGGCTAGTGGAACTAATTTTTAGATTAGTGCTGCCCACCATTGTGAGTTTGTTAACTGTAATTACCCTGTAAGGTACTCTGTACCAGTTATGCACCCTTTAAAAAGCAGGTACATAACCTGTAGCTAACTGGTACTTAACCAGTACAGAGTATGTACTGGATACATTCTCCTTTTTTTACCAGGAAAATACTAGTACTTGTTGAGTACGTAATTCATTTGTACCTAGTGAATACTTACAAAGTACTGTACATATTTGATATATTGTCTGTAAGTACACTGTAAGGTACATACTAGATAAGTACCAGATACACACCCAGTACTTATCAGGTAGAGGTATGTACACAGTTATTTACTAGACATTTACCTGGTATGTGTCGGGTACAAACCTAATCTGTATCAGGTATGTTCTTGGGACTTGTAGGGTACATACCCAACAATTCCGAGGTACATACCTGGATCTTGCAGAGAATGTATCTGTTAAGTATTAAGGGCTTACCTGTAATATAAGCTAGGTATCTAGTGCATACATACATGGTTTTGACCATGTACATTTTCTGTATGTACCCTCAACTATGTATATACCACATAAGTACTAGGTATACACCTAGTATGTACATGATAGGTACTCACTGATTATCAACTTGGTATATACCTGGTACTTACAGGGTATATACCCAGTATGTGCACAGCATTTTACTTGTAAGACACTGGGAACTAGGTACCCCTGTAAATTGGTACATACCCAGCAAGTAACAGGTATATTATTTTAATTTAANAATTGGTACATACCCAGCAAGTAACAGGTATATTATTTTAATTTAAATATAAAAATATAGGAGTTAGTTTCAATCCATTTGATTTAAAATATTGGTAGACTTATCTGAATGACACTGCTCTTTTTACTGATTTGAACTTTTAAATTTAACAGACCTGGGAAGATGTAACACCTTAAGATGTCAAACTACCGTAAAAAAAATAAACAGTAAAATAGCTCCTGGTGTATTATTGCCTTTGTGGGGAACCATACTAGACAGTTTGTCTTGCTGTTGCAGATGAGTAAGGAATGTGGCAAATACTATAAAATAAATTTCAAAAATGTGACATGCTGGGTCAAAAAAATGTATTCAAACATTTCCACGCAATAAGAAAACATGAATACATAATGAACAAGCAACAGTTCTGATTCAGCTCCATAAAAGCATCAGACCATGTCAATGTTAGCAGATGCACACATTCCATTACCTGAACTGACTAGTGCTGAACAAACAGCCTTCCCCTCTTCAGAGATGTTGGTGTACCTGTCACTAAGAACATGGATCAGCTGATGAGGATTCAGACTGATGTCTTTGTTTTTGAGACCATTCCTATTTTATTTTCTTGAATCTTGTTTGTATTTTAAAATGTAGCTAAATGTATAATAAAAAGATGAAAAAAGGAACCTAAAGCAAACTTATAATTAAATTCTAAGTGAATGAGACAACAGTCAGTATCTCACACAGAGATGCWTCTACAAAAAATACTTTAACAAAACATCTGACTCAGTAATTGTCAGTAAGTAAACAWAATAATCAGGGTTCAAATGAATGATATAGAAAAGCAGTTGAACTTACACAGGCAGTCACCTGTTTTTCTTATTCCTCCATCTGCAGAACAGCTGTAGTCACTAGCAGCAAGGAGGAAACATGTTCCCCCACTTCTGTGGTCCTGCTCCCTGGTGCTAGACCTTCGCATAGGGACCCTCTCCTCTGAAGACAARCTGAGCTCACTGCCCCCACTACAGTCGGCTGACAAAACTGTGAGAGAAAAAACTTAAATATCACAACCATTTTTTTTTGCTATGTAAAAATATTTTTTTCAAAGTCTTCAACAATGAACATTATAATGTAACATGATAATTGTGGATGTACTGATAAAATTGGAGTATTGCATTGAAACGATAATGAGTAAAGGTCCTGTTTATCACTGAAAATAGCCCTTGTTATCAAAAACTAATTGTCTGCATCAAAGCTAGAAAGTGCCTTCACTCAGTGGTCAGTGCTGCAGTCCTGTAATATTGAAGTTGTGTGTTCAAGCCCAGGTTATGCCAAAAATGGCATCTGGCATAAAACAACTGCCAAATTTTTCATCTGATTTAACTCAGTGGTTCTTAAACTTTTTTGAGGTACCAAACCCACCAGTTTCGTGTGCGCATTCACTGAACCCTTTTTAGTGATAAATAAAATA